AAAGAGTCCCATAGAAGGCTCCGGAAGGACCAGAGAGAGCTGTGGAGAGGTGTGAGGCAGTGGGGCAGGAGAGCAAGCTTCCCTGACTTCCCGGCTTGTTCTGACTCGCCCTCCTCCTGCACTCCATCAGTGAGTCCCACTGGCCCTAGAATCTACCGACAGCTCAAGAGCTCTGAGCGCCCCAGCTCCAGGCTAGTGCCTCGTCTCCCTGCCCTCAGCTGGCCTCTCCTGTCGGGGCCTCTCCTGTCGCTCGGATCCAGCTTTCACACCCTGGCCAGAGTAATCCCCCCTCTTCCCTGCCTACAATCCAGCCCGACCCCCACTGCGAGCCTCTGAGCGCCTAGGGCTGGCAGGCACAGCTCCAGGCTGGCCCCGGGAGCACACTGCCCCGCCTCGCCCTCTGCGGGACCCTCCCTCCAGTCCGCACGTTGCCCCCGATTTCAGAAAGGCCTTTGTCTCGTGGGTTGAAGTAGGCTGCCCACACCTCGAGGGCTGCTCTGTGACTCTGCCCCCTCCCGCCCGGTAGAAACCTCAACCAGAGTGTTTTCCGGGCTGGAAGCTCCTGCGGGCACAGCAGACTTGCACCCACGGAAAGGCACTCCCCAACCCCGGGGATGAGTGAGAAGAAACGTGGCCGCCTCCCAGCAGGGGCAAGGCGGGAGACTCTGTCTGAAGGAAGCAGGGTGAGCGGGGCAAGCCTGTGGTCCCTGCAGCCTGGGACGCTGAGGCCAGAGATCGTAGCAAAGCAAGACCGCGTCCGAAAAGTGAAAGAACACGCCCTTCCTCTGGCGGCCACAGCCTGCGGGAGCGCGGCTCCGTCAATGGCTGGATTTTGGCTCCCAGCTGTCTGTGCAGGGCAACGGCAGGGCCCTCCGCTCCTGTCCCCCTCCCAGTGCTGGGGGAGGGACAGCTTCCCGAGGGAAGGGCTACCTTGGGCCTCCCTCTGCTTACGCGGACTCCGGAGCTTAGAGCGAGGCCGAGGCTTTGAGAAGTGTCTCTGGCCTTCTGAGAAGAGCTACAGGAGGTGGGGGCTCCGCAGGGCAGATGGCAGGTTGGGAGGAAGTCCTGAGGGGTGACAGTCAGGGGCAAGGGCCAAGTGGCGGGGCACGGGGGAGAGCGAGTCTCAGTCTACCAGGTCTCAGACGTTCCCTCTGGGGTCCCGGCGTTCTCTCTTGGGGCTGACCCAGCCATTCCTGGTCCCACAGTGCCGTCTTCCTGCCCCCTTGGAGCCCAGACTGAAGTCTTGTCCCTGCCTGTCCAGCAGGTGGCAGCTGTGCCCGGGACCCAGAGCTGGCACCACCTCCCTCCACGCTGGCGGCCGAGGCCGGGGACTCAGTTGCTGCTGCCCCTGGCAGGCCCAGAGGAAAGATGGATGGTACCAGGGCCGGCCAACACAGACATTGATTTTTGTTTAGGAGAAAATGAAATATTAATTTCCACTTTGTTAGGCTGGGGAGGGTGAATACCCAGAGGAGAGATGGATGGCACGGATGGTACCAGGGCCGGCCAACACAGACATTGATTTTTGTTTAGGAGAAAATGAAATATTAATTTCCACTTTGTTAGGCTGGGGAGGGTGAATAAAGCCGGCCCTGCAGGACCAGAGGAAGTCAAGCCACGCTGGGGTCCTACAGATAGGAGGGAGGGAAGGAGCAGACCTCCCAGTCTCCATCCTCCCAGAACCAGGGCCCTGTCTGCCGCCGCTGGCCCCAGTGAGGGTGCTGTGGCTAAGGGAGCGAGTCCGGAGCCGGAGCCGGGGTAGCTGGCTCGCAGCCCGCGCTTCCCACGAGGAGCTGCACGGCCTCGGGCAAGTCACTTGGTTTTCATGTCTCAGTTTCCTCCTGAAAACAGGAATACCATAAACTTCTTCGTAGAGGATAAAATGCCTTCAGAACATGGACATGCTCGGCACAGCGGGGCCAGTCAGTGTGTTAGGGTCCTGCTCTTCTCCCCCAGATGAATGACGACTTCTCCCCTCTTTTTTTTTTTTGGCTAGGGGGAAGTGAACTTACTGGAGAGAGATGCAAAGGGAGTGAGAGAGGGGGAAAGTGAGAAATTGCCCCCTGGAGAAGATGGCCAAGCCCTAATCCCTTCTCCTCTAATCTCCCCTTGGGATTTTGGGCATGCACACATAAGCGCCTGGTGTGTTTTCCAAGCCGCCAGGTCCAGGACTTGAACTGTGTACTCGGCCAATGTGGGTTCCAGCTGTTGTTACTACTGCTGCTACGATGGTCACCAGCTAACCCGTCTTGCGTGTTTATTTTCTGCTAAGAATTATGCCAATTCTCCTAGTACTTGGGGCTTCACTGCCCTTATCTCGGGTACCCTCGTCACACGGAGCCCTGTGGTTTGTTGAGGAGGGGGTTATTCCTCCGAAAGTTCATCTACTTTTCTAGCACCTCCCACTTGCTTACAGGGTAACACCCAGACCCCTCCTTCAGCCTCTGAGGCTCCTGTATCCAGCCAGCCGTGTTCGCGCGGGCCTTTCGCACAGCCCCAGCCCATGCGACGCCCACCTGTCCCCCTGTCTCCGCACTGTCACCTGTGTTTTCTGCGTGGGTCATTCTGGCTGTGGCGCCGACCCAGCTCTAGCTGCGGAAGTCACTTGCTCCCAGGGTAGAAGAAAGCCGACTGCTGTTCAGGCCTCCTCCTGCTAAGCTGCCATTTCTACCTCTGCTCCTACAGTCACCAGCTGCCCGTGCTGCGTGCTCATTTTCTACCAAGCGCTTTATGAGGCTGAGCTCCTCCAGCCACTGCGACAACCCCAGTTCAACTGGAGAGGCAGGAGACTTGGGCTGTGGCAAAGATGGTCCCAGATCACACGGCTGGGTGGGGCGGGGGTGGTGTGGAGCCCCGCCCAGGTCTGTCTGACTGGTGCGGGCACAGCAGACCCGCGACGGTAGTAAGTTGGTGTTAGGCCCTGAGCCATAAGAGGGAGGCTCCAGTCACCAGGATCCATTCTAGAATCTGACACCCCGTAAATGGCTCGAGCAGTTCCTGGCAAAGCTTGCCTGTTGTGGACAGCTCCGATTCAGAGACATGACTTCTTCATACAGAATTCAGACCCGCGTCTATTCCTTACACACCTCAACCCTGACCCTGCCTTGTGAGCCCGGCCATGGGAAACCAAATGGCTCTTCAGCACCTGAAGGCCCCCAACAGTAAGGTTCTCTGTGCCAGGCTGCTGCAGGCTGCTCGTCCCCACTCTAGCCAGCGAGCCAGGTGTTGGAATAACTCCGCACCGTAGGAGTCCGAGCAGTGCGACCAGGGACATGGAAGTGTTGAGTGGCACAACCGGATTCAAATCCAGGCCCCTGAGTCCCTAAAACCAGGTTCTCCACGTTATGGCTTCTGTACTAAAGTCCCACTAAGCCCTGTCTTCTCCGGTGAAGAGGCCCCACTTCCTTCCAACTGTCACCAGTGATACTTCTGTGTCTTCACTCCCTCCTGGTCTCTGATAGGCTGATGACCCGCCCAAGTCTGAGGCCCAGAACTAGACATCAGAGCAGGCCCCACCCGGCTGTGACGTCAGCAGTGCTCTTCGAGACACACCGCTCCCTGACAGGAGTGGGGCTGTGCATCCTCTACACTGGGTGACCCCTGCTGGCGCCTAGTGAACCCCACTTCTTTCTACCACATGGTCAATGGGTTCCATTTTGCTCTCTGTCCAGTGACTGACCACTAGCCACCAGCCAGGTACCACTGGTGGCCACAGCCTGGCTGCCCACGGGGAAAGCATTTGGCATGTAGAGGGAGACGGTGATTTGGGTGAGTTGAGTCACCATAAAGCTATGACAGGAGGAGGACCAGAAGGAGGCACCATCAAGGACCCTAGGCTGAGGGGAGGGGGTGCAGCCCAGCAGAGCCTCTGCCCACGTAGCTGCATATGTGCTTACGCTAGTGAGAAACCACGGTGTGAGCCAAAGTGAATGAGTCCTAGCTTATCCCACAGCAGCGGTGCCTTTCTAAGATATGGGCTTAGGGGGCCGGCAGGTGGCATCGTGGTTAAGGTGCTGGACTCCCGTGTGACCAATTATAGTTCGAGTCCCGGACCTGATAGCTTGCTTTCTCACTTTCCCTTTCTCTCTCTCTCTGGTCAAATTAGAAAATAATAATAACAAATACAATTGAATGAATAACTAATTCTTAAAAAACAAAAACAGCATTGGACATTTGGCCCAGGGAGCTCAAGCCCACTTCTTGGGTTCGGAAGACTAAGTGTAACAGAGAATCGGCTGCTGTTCAGGGCCCAGATAAGATCTCTCTAGAACAATGACTCTCTGGTCTTGGTCCCAGCCCGGCCCCCACGCTGCTCTGGCATGCACACGGGTGTTGCCCCGCCTGAGCGGCCCCCACCCCCGGCCCTGGTGCACTTACCCCAGGCAGGGTCTTCTGCTCGTGCAGTGCACTCTGGGCCTTCAGAGCAGAGTCCCGGGCGCAGTAGGTGAGGAAGGCACAGCCTGGGGAGGGAGAGGCTGGCTCAGGGGGGCTCCTGAACCCAATGCTCCGGGAAAGACCCCATGGAGTTGGAAAACTCTGGGCCACTCTCCTTTCAACAAAGGCACTGCTTCTGAGCAGCATCCTCTGCCTCCCGCCTTCTCTGAATGCAGGGGACCTGTGTCCTAGGCTCTGGCTTCCTCTCGGTGCCCTTGGCCTCCTGCCCAGGACACTGCATACCCGCGCCCCATCACATGCCCACAGCGTCCCATGTCTCCCCGCCCCACTCCACCCATAGTCCTGCGGGGTTTAAACCCCCTACACAGCTTTGCCGTCATCTTTAACCCAGACCCTGCCTCCTTTTGGGATCCAGACTCACGAAGTCGCCCAGGATTGGCCTCAATTCCTTCCCAACTCAGTTTCAGATGAGAGGAAGCAGAAGAGGAAGAGTAGTTTGGGGTCCAACAGAAGGACCCCACGGCTCCTTTCTAACACCCCCCCCAGGTGTGAAGCTGGGGAATGGACTGATTTGAGGCATGGAAGATAAGACTTTTGTGGGCTCCCAGGGACTCCCAGTTCCAACCAAGGAACTTGATCTTTCTATACTCCCAAGGCTTTAAGATAGGGCCTTTTATTTTATTTTTAAAATTTGCTAGTGAGGGGACCAGCAGTTAGCGTAATGGCTATGTCACTAGACTCCCACGTAGTGGACCACGGTTCGAGTCCCAGACCCGGTGGCTTAAACTCATGCCGGGCATGTGTGCGTGTGTGCCCAAGATCCTGAGAGGAGAGTGGAGGAGAAGGGATTGCGATGTGGCCATCCCCCTGGGGGGTGATTTCTCGCTTTCTAGCTCTCTGTCTCTCTCTGTCTGACTGGCGAGCGCATGTGCCCTATAGCAAAAATCTCTCTCAAAAAAAAAAATGTTGCTAGCGAGTGCATGCACTCCTGGACACAGAAGACAGAGAGAGAGACAGAGAGAGAGGAAGCCCCCGAGGGAATATGGTCATGCTGCAACCCCTGTTCTCAACCTCTCCCTGCTGTCAGGATCGGGGGCATGTGTGCACACGTGCCTGGCATGTTTCCCAAGCTACTGGGTCCAGGACTCCAAGCATGCAGTCAGCCGTGTGGGATCCCGCCGCCTTAACCTCACCATAGGTTGGCGCAATAGGGCCTTTAAAAGGGTTATTGTGCCCCAAATAGGACTTCTTGGAGAGGGCTAGCAGAGGGCCAGCAGATGGCATGGAGGTTCGGGTGCTCGCATCCCGTATGGCCAGCTGCTCAGTTTGAGTCCTGGACCTGGTGGCTTGAAAAACACGTGTGTATTTGTGCCCCAAAATGCTGAGTGGAGTGTGGAGAGAGGATTGCAGCACGGCCATCCCCTACCCCCCGGGGGGTGCTCTCTTACTTTCTCTCTCTCTGTGTCTGTCTCTGGGAAGAACACATGTCTTCTAGCTAAATAAATAAATAAATAGACCAGCAGATAGGAGGCAGGGCTGGGGTCTGCTTGAGCCAAAGGTCAGGTCCACCCCTCCTCATTCAGTCTTAGCTGGCCTATTAGAAAGTGCAGAGGCAGGGGTTGTGTTTTACTTGCTGGAGGGTGCATACACTCACTGGGGAGAGAGAGAGAGAGAGAGAGAGAGAGAGAGAGAGAGAGAGAGAGAGAGAGAGAGAGAGAGAGAGAGAGAGAGAGAGAGAGAGAGAGGGAGGGAGAGGGAGAGGGAGAGGGAGAGGGAGAGAGAGAAAGTGAGAAAGCACCCCCACACCTCCATTATGGTCTTGAGATTTTGGGCATGCCCAGCATGTTTTTTAAGCCAGTGGGTCTGGAAGTTGAACTACACAGCCTGCCATGTGGGATCCATTGCCCTAACCACCAGGCCACGGGCCGGCCCCAGTCACTGAGCATCATTCATTGAGAAGGTGTTTACTGAATACCTTCTTATTACAGTGGAGGTTGCGAGGGTCTTGGGGCTAGAGCAGCAACAAGACACATTTCCTGCCCTCCTGCGATTCAATACCAAGCCGTGGAAAAATGTAACTGAGTTCCGAGGGCTAGAGAATGTCTCACTAACAAGGCTGAGTCCTCAAGAATAAAGTGACAAAAGTGGTGATTATTTCAGGCAGAGGGCACAGCCTATATAAAAACCTGAGTCAAGAATTTGATTCTGAGGGGACCAGCAGTTTGCGTAATGGCTATGTCGCTGAACTCCCACGTAGCCAACCGCAGTTTGCGTCCTGGACCCGGTGACTTAAACTCACACTGGGCACGTGTGCGTGTGTGCCCAAGATCCCGAGAGGAGAATGGAGGAGAAGGGATTGCGGTGTGGCCATCCCCCCGGGGGGTGATTTCTCGTTTTCTAGCTCTCTGTCTCTCTCTGTCTGTCTGGCGAGTGCACGCGC